CATTTCTCTATTGCTAATTGCTATGTAGGTCTCAGCAGCTCTGGAATCCCATGCCAAAGCAGATTCCCAAAGCAGAAGGTCAAAGGGCCACCACACATCCCTTTGTTCTTGATCTACTGGTCACCCTTTGTGGCAAAGATTCACTATTTAAAACTCAGTTATTGGAACTGGGCATGGTGGTACATACCTGTAATGATGCACTTGGGAGGCTGAGGCAGGAGGATCACTGCAAATTCAAGACCAACCTAAACTATATAGAAAGTTCAAGGCCAACAGTCATATAGACCTCTGTAAGGTTTTGGTAGATTTCCTAAACTTCCAAAGTCAGAAAAAGACAAAAACTCCAAGCCATTGCCAAGTATGTTGGTACATTCTGTAATCCTAGCACTTGGGAGGCTGAGGCAGGAGGATCACTGTGTGTTCAAGGCCAGACTCAACTATATAGTGAAACTCTATCTCAAAAGGACAAAACAATGAAAATTAAAAAAAGAAACACCTCCAAGCCAGAGGCTAGTGAATTCCAGAATATCTATCTACGGTATTAAAATTTTGTCTTTAAGTTTTAACATCTTTTTACAATCAGACTCCCTCGTTTCATGTTGGTCAGTAATTAGAGAAGATCAGCCACTTGGATTCTGGTTCTAAACTTGCCCAGAAGACCCACAAATCCTGTTGGTTTTACTGAGAACTTCCTCTCTCAGAAGACAGAAAACTCAGTTCTAGCCAAAAAGAGGAAATAACTGAAGAAAGCGAAATTAACATCTTGGAAGGAAATGGCCACATGACGTATGACTATGTAATGAGCAGGGAGTAGAACATAGAATGCAGATACTTTAGAAGTGAAGTGTTTTACCTCAAATTTGTGGAAAGACATTTGTTTCAGCATCACAAAGAAAAAAGCGTATGGTTCCAAGGATAGGGATGCCGAGTTCTTTCAGGGCTGCCAACTGCAGGTGAGAAAGAGGAAAAAGGAAGAAACAAACAACTAAAAACTCAGATTTAGAAATAACTGAACACTCAGATTTGGAAAATCCCAGTACTTCCCTGAGACAGAGACGTGAATTCACACAGCACGTCACACCCACAAAGAAAGGGAAGGAGAGCGGACTGGGAATGAGGCTCACTGCCGTCATAAAAGAAAGATGGGGGACACCGAAGGGCAGCACTGAGATGGGTGTCCCTGCCTGACCTGTGGTGTTTAAAACACGTGACTCAGTAGGACAAAGTCCACAGGTGGGTACCCTGTAGACAGGGCAATCATCCTCAGGACAATTAAAAGTGAGAGCAAAGAACCTGGCTTGGACTCAGCTGGCACATGCTTGAGTCAAGGGCCCAGAGTTTACTACGTGTACGCCTTCCAGAATACTGTCTTCAGCTACACACTGCGGCAGTAAGACTGATCTGCACTGTCGATCTTAAAAGTAGGTTACTGTGAAGGTGAGCTAAAATGATGAGAACAGAATGCCTGGAACGTAGTAGGTGCTTGGTAGGAGTAGCTCTTTAAAAACTAAAAGATACTGTTTCTAAACCTTACATGCAGGAAAAATGGTATAATAGACGGTATAAGACTGTAGCACGCAAGCTATGCCTGGCAGAGCAAATCCAGTTAAGCCCATTGAGTTACATGCTATTTAGGACAGCTTTTCCCCCCCCAAAAAAAATAAATAAATAAATAAAGTAGAATAAATGCACCTAACACATTTACTATCCAGTCTTTTAGAGAAAATAATTCCTAACCCCTGGGATAAGGGATACTAGAGCTCTCCATTCATGGTCCACACTCTTGTGCCCATTATGCATGTGATTGAGATATATATATCCACTTGCCTTTCCCATCCAAGGGCCTTTTCTGCTGGCCCAGAGAAAGAACAAGTTTTCACTGGCCTCTTCAATATGGAATAACAATTGGGCCCACAAGGAGAAGCCACTGGAGACCGTGGACTTCACCAGGCCCGGCCACCCGCTCCTTTGTCTAAGCCCTTCATATTCTAAACCAGAGAAGAGAATAAAATCCCCCTGGCAATATGCCTTTTCCTGAGTATCTGGGTCTCAGAGAGTGACAAGTACACTGGAGATGATGCCAGAGGAAGAAAGACAGAGATTTTTAAACTCTGAATCATATGACCCAATCCCAGAAACTGAAAGAAACAGAGAGAAGTGTCTGCAGAGATGGACATGGTACGTAGGATGCTATTGGTGTATCTAGACAGCAGAAAGGCCTCTGAAAATACTGGAAGGAAAATGACAGAACTCTAAGAACGATGTTGAAAGATCAACTCCAAGAATGAAATGAGATTTGGGGAAAATGGTAAAATAATCACTGCTTAGCTCTGTTCTGCACTGGAGGGCTATCTAAGTCAGCTTTCTGTTGCTGGGATAAAACATCTGACGTCCACAATGTAAAGGAGAAAAGGTTTACTTTTATTATAGTTTCAAAGGATTCAGTCCATGATTGTCTGGTCCCCGGCAGAAAAGTCATGATGAATGGGCTTGGGGGAGGAAAGACACTGAATTTACATGATCCAGAAAGCAGAGAGCAGATGAGCCAGACAAGAAGGGTCATTGGACTGGATATAGGCCTCAAGGTCATGCCCCTATAATCTACCTGCACACATCCAGAAGTGTGTGTTACCTCCTACGCATCTCTCAAGCCAATCAAGCTGACAATCAAGATTGACCACAAAGGAGTGAACAAAGAAGAAATGGCCCACTGTAGAGAACAGACATCACTATGTGTACACATGGTATTTTAAGAGTCAACTCACGATTGTTTCTCTTGCTTCTTATTCAGAATTACTGAAGACTAGTGTCGTGGTGACCAACCCTGATAACTGAAACTAAGAAGCCCAAAATCGGGCATGGTTCCAAGGCATCTGCTGCTTTGAATAAATGCATTCACCCTGCTTTGGTGGAACAACATGCCAGGGCAGAGGAGAACTTGCAGCTAAGAAGCCTTTGAAAGACTCGAGAGCTAAAAATTTCCCTAAAACTAGGGCTTCTCATGATATCCTGCTAATGCCTCACTTCTGCCTGTCTCATCCTTGGGTCTACGTTGCCATCTACAGTGATGACACTATTGGACTCTCCAACCTTAGTGTGACTATTTTAATACTGAGTTTTCTACTCACTGGGGACTGGAAGGAAGTGCAGTGGCTTGAGCTCACTTCTTGGAGGATCAAGGCTTGATACATGCATTGTGCAATCTGCCTGCTTAACACGACAAGAAGTTTTACTTCCTGAAATATACAGGATTGTAGATGGCTTGAGGTCCAGTCCACACGGTCAAGATGAGACGTGGCACAACTACAGAGACTGTTAGGTCAGAATGCCTTGCCCCATGATTCCAAAACTTGCCTCGAGCAGTAAGGATCCATGTGCCCCTCCATCCACTCTCTAGCACTGGATAAATCACATCAAATCACCTGGTCTTGTATCTTCATCCACTACTCACATTCAAACAGCAATTCAAAGGGTTCAGTAGATCTGACCAGGCTTCACTAGGGCTCCTTTGAGCTGCCCTATTCTGAGGTTCTGGAATTCTACAGCTAGAAGATGGCAAAGTGCAAGTACTCAAGACTCCCGATCTGTACTCCAAGTTCCAGAACTGATTAAACCAGAGCTGACGCCCAAGTCCCTCACCCAACACTCCCTTCCTGTCACTGCCTTTTGTCCTCTTTTGCATGGCATGTAATCACATTAACAGACATTTCTGTGTTCTTTCAGGACAGCCTACAAGGCCATCAGACCACAAAAGTCTACTGGGCACTCCATTGGAGGGAGATATCAGTTGCTCCATGGAGGATGGCAATGAGTGATTAATTTGCAGAGTGGATACTGTGGAGATAAAACAGAAAAGCTTGCAAGGCCTCCCAGACAGGGCCTCTGGAGTATGTGTAGGACCAGACACTTAATTTTATGAGGGCTTAGTGGTGACAATTTATTATTGCTTACCAAACTCCCAAGAAAGGATGCAATGAACAGGTTTTAGATTTCCAACAGAACATATATCTTACCAAAGATATATGTTGCTTCTCCCTTCCAGATGTCAAGGTACTAGGAAGCAAACTGAGAATCAGATAGCTGCTAGATAAGCAAGCCCAAGCAGAAACCCCTGTTCCAAAGTATAGCCTATTTTATTCATACCTCAGATATTGTCCTCTGTCAAAATCAAGGGCTGTCTGTCTTGGATAATGCAGAACAAGCCCAGTACCTGGCACATACTAGGCATCCACCTCTTTGCATGAAAACACTGTCCAATCCCTGCCCACTCATTCAGCTAATGAAACCCCTCCTGCCTACATTCACATGCTAGGCACTTTGCTAAACTTGACAGTAAACAAGTTCACAGCCTCCCTGGGGAACTAGAAAAGTGAGCCAGGTTTCAACTCAGTGCTGTCATAAGAGCACTAAACCAGCTTGCATTCTTATCCCTGCACCATTTATGACCTGGTCACCCGTGTAGTCAATCAATGAAGAGCTGCCCTCAGGCGTTACCATGGGTCAAACACTGCTCGTCTCTGGGTTGGACAGAGCCTGGTCATGCTTGATATTATCAAAAGATAGCATTTCCCTGCTTGATCTTCTTAGAGAATCTAAAGGGGTGCTGCCACTTCATTACACCCATATATGCACCTTCAAATGGAAGGTTTCCTGAACTTAAACACAAGGATGTGTGCATGTGCACGTACATCTGTGTGTTTCCCACTTGTTGCACAGATCCTAAATTAACATTTTTCCAACCCAGGAAAATCCAGTATTTTAATATTGAATCATCTGCCCAGTGGTCTAAGAAAAGCAATGCCTATTTCACAATGACACATTTGCAAAATGTGTCAGTTTGGTATCCCTTGCTCTTCCAGGGACTTGGGAGTCGTTTCAGCAAATTAGCCTCTTCCCCTAGAGTTTCCCACCAGCCCCTTCCTCCACTCCATGCCTATGACTTGGTTGTGACATCAGTTAACCAAAGGGGAAATTTCTTAGCTCTTCACTTCTGCTTTTGAGGAACATAAAAGAAGGAGGGAGAAACTGGAAGACCACAAATTCCTTCTGGGTGCAAGGCACAGCAGACTGATCTGAACTTCTCTCCAGCGGATCTTCATTGCTCCAGTATGACTTGTAACTCTCTCTTACCACTCTGTCCTAAAGATCTTTTCCCCACCCCACTCCTACCTCTACCCCATGCCTCCTTTCTCTCTGCTTGAGGACTGGACCTTTTGCAAAAATGCCAGGTATACTGCAATGCTATGACTTATAAAATATTCTGGGAATGAATATTGCTTATCTAGCAGCTGATATCCGAGAGGCCAACATTCAAGCCTTGGCCCCAAGTCTTCTGGCAATATTTTCCTGGTGTGAATTTGGTTCCACAAGTGTCGTCCTCTAGATCCAAAGGATGGGCCTCTCATGCATTCACTCGTTCTCAGATCATTTCGTGTACTAGATGCTGGGGGAAACTTACAAATGAAGGCAGCCCCCAGGGACACTGCACGTGGCACTGCACGTGGTCATTCACTTTCTCCTCTTTTTCACAGGTCTCTGAAATAGCTATGGCAGCAGTTCCTGAACTCAGCAGCGAAGTGACAGCTTACCACAGGTCAGTGGGGAGACTGAGACTAGTACCAGGCCCAGGGCTCCCCTTTCAAGAGTGCAGGATTATCTGTACCTGGAGGTCAGATTTGACCCAGAGTGCCTCTGTCAGTAGCAAGCAGTGTTCAAGTCAACCTGGTGTGGTGACTCACTTCCTACTTCAAGTCTCACTTAGGGACTCAGAGACCACACAGACCTTGTTCCTGTAGGGGCTCCCTGTAGATGGCAAGGAAAGAGAAGACACTAGGTGGATGATCCAGAGGACCCCTCTGCAAAACTTGGGTGAAAGGAATAGCTGAGATTTTAGCAGAGATGTAGATCTAGGGTTGATGTCTTAGGGTCCAGTCAGGAGCACTTGGGATACTACTTGCCTGGTCTGGAATCTTCCCTCTCAATGATTCTTTGTGTAACACCATTGAATTTGCAAGAATGCTGTTTTCAGTTTTACTAATAATGAAGACTTGTGTGTATGGAAGGGAAGATTAATCTGTCTAGGAGAGATCATTGAGCCATGTGTCTGTTTTTATTACAGTGACGAAAATGAACTGTTCTTTGAGGTCGACGGCCCCAATAAGATGCAGGTGAGACTCTGGGGCTTTACCCCCTACCCACTGAAGGTGTCCAACACCGAGATGCTCAGAGAAAGGGGCTTTGGGTGTGTCATTCTCAAGGGTAGTCTATGTGGGTTGTATTCCATGCTGCTGGCCACTGTGCACCTCCCACAGCACCATACTCATTGGCCAAGGCTGTCTATGCTGCCTTGTACTAGGAAGACAACCAATCTTCAAATTTGAGATTTCTCTTAGAAGATAGGATCAGCCAATTCCAATCACCTAAGCCAAACTCTGCAACACAGAAAGAAAGATAATAAGTAAATGGATTTGCATATAGCATATAGGGTGTCAGGAAGCCCACATTCTAGTTACTAAGTGTCCTTGGGTAAGTCACTTAACATCTCTGGGCTTCAAAGACACAGGAATTAAAAGCCTCTTGTGGCTAAAAGACCTTCCTGCTTTCTGATGTCCACGCAGCAGTTAGCTGACCCGACCACCCTAACGTGCTCATTGCCTTGGTTTACCAACAGTATTGCTTCCAAGACCGGGACCTCTGCTCTCTGGATGAGGGGATCAAGCTGCAAATCTCCCATCAACACTTCAACAAGAGTTTCAGGCAGACCGTCTCACTCATCGTGGCAGTGGAAAAGCTGAGGAAAAAGCTGGCTCCTTGCACATGGGCCTTCCAGGATGATGACCTGAGACCCTTGCTTCCCTTCATCTTTGAAGAAGGTATTGATTGAGAGCTTAAGAGTAGACGGTAGACCTTCACCCAGCTACTTCTCAGTGCATCACTAACGGCCACCTACTCTCCCTAAATTGAAGCCCTTTAAAGGTAGAAAGCCTAGTGATTAAGAAAACAAAGAAACCAAAAAAGTAACTAACCACCTCTTTCACTGAAACAATTCTTACATAAGACCTTGACAACCGTTTACAAGTGCAATTCACTCATTTTCAGCGTGCTTTCACTTAGAGTATAGCCTGCAGATCTCACAACCTCCCTATCAGGCTAGTGTTACACAATAAGTACCTCTGTTGCAAGCTCACAGTGAGCGATAACAGTGGTGAAGCTTGAACCCAGGGCTCAACCACCAACTCCCAACTTCCTCCTTGCTGATGTTCAAATTCAGCTTTGACCATTCATGCTTAGATGTCCTCCAAGAAACTCAATTCTCCTTTCCCACATCACTGGGCTTACTCTTCTGAATTTCTGACCTCATAACATGTGTGCTCCAAACTCCAGAGCCCATCGTCTGTGACACGTGGGATGAGGAGTATGAGAGCGACACGCCTGTCCCATCACGGAACTGCACACTCCACGACATACAGCATAAACGCCTGGTGTTGTCTGACCCATGTGAGCTGAAAGCTCTTCATCTCAATGGAGACAATCTGAACCGACAAGGTAACTGGAGACATTTTGGTTTCCCTTCCTGACTTCCTGACAATTTGTGTATGTTCTGAACCAAATAACCACTAAAGCAATTATTAACTGAAGTGAAAAGAAACATAGTATTTGAATGTATCAGTTTTTGCTGCATGATTTTAATTTGAATGTTTTGGTATGTTCGCTTGTTAGCAGAAGGTGTGACCGGGAGAATTAGACTACTCAAGCACTCCCAGGACCACTGTCCTCCAAGTCACGCAGGGACAGTATGGGGTCATTTGATGGACATGCCCTAACTGCCTGTGGGTTCCTTTTTCCTGTTGTTGAGGCTAAAATGAGACCAGTGAGAAATAGTGGGTCTTTCCCTTCTCCTAACTCTAACGCCTTTCCTACCCAATACCACATGGTTCCTTGCAGGGAAATTTACTAACCATCAGGAAATATATCTCTCTGCTTTAACTAGTACATGTCTCAAATGTGATGAGACCACCACAAAGCTATGGGGACTGCCCTGACACCATGCCTCTGTGACTAAGGCAGCGGCATGTTCTCCCCTAAAGCTGCCAGTCTTGGCAGGCAGCATCCTTTAGATCAAAGCTTCCTACTCCTAGCCAGGCAAGGAAAATACTATTTCTTTAGAACTGAGTGCTGAGAGTGGCACCAGTTCTCCAGTTGTGACTGCTATGACTATGAAAGAACAAAATGAATGTTTCTTTTGGGGGGCCAATGCCCCAGCCACATCACTCCTCTCCCAGTTCTTCCCCCACTTCCTGCCCTGTTCCTGAAGCAGCTCTGGTGCTTGATTCCTTTTGAGAACACAATTTCTAACTCTTTGGGGACACGACTCCTGGCCCTCTACATTGATCAACCAACTAGCCCAGCTATAATCGGTGAAAAGTTACCTGTCTTATTTGCAAGGCCAAAGGGCCCTCACTGTGGTTTCCCATGGAGGATGCTTAAATTGTCTAAGTTCTACATATGCAGTCCAGTGGTTGGGCCCACCTGGCAATGCTGTGTCCCTAACCACAAGGTCCCTCTCCTTTCTCCAGTGGTGTTCTCCATGAGCTTCGTACAAGGAGAAAGAAGTGATAACAAAATGCCCGTTGCCTTGGGCCTCAAGGGGAAGAATCTGTACCTGTCCTGTGTGATGAAAGATGGTAAACCTGTCCTGCAGCTGGAGGTAAGCAGATACCAAAAAGGACAGCCTCAGCTTCCTCTGAAGCACCCTAAGCCATCACTTCCTTCCCCACAACTCCCTGCTCCCCACCTGCACCCATGGAAAATCTGAGAGCAGGTCTGCCTGACAATTCTGCATAAATTTAAAATGGACTTAACATAATTTTTAAGTGCATGCAAAGGTCACTCCTACTGCAGAAAATTAAACCCTTGTGTCCCTGTTAGTGTGTTCTGCCATTGTTCCCACTCTGACAGGTTGTTCAGTGTGAAGGCTGCAAGGATTAAACCTTTATATCCAATTAAAGAAATCTGTCATTAATCTCTACCACACTTCCACAATCCCACCACCACCACTTGCAGCTTTCCTAGCAAAAACTCACTGTTCTATGGATGTCATTCTACCCAGGACCATAGAAAAACCACATCCAAAGTACCTACCTAGAAGCTAGGTACTCCATGAAGCTTTCACCTAATGTTTACTTCTTTTCTTTTAATTGCATCTATATGATGCTCCCTGGTATTGGTTCTCAGATATAGAAAACACAAAGGACTCTTCAGTAACTATATGGCACCCCAAAGACAACACAGGAGGCCCAGTCGTGGTTCCACAGCCTGCCACAGCTTCCTCTCTAACTGGCTTCAACATTATCTCTACTATGCTCTTTGTCCCTTCCTTCATGAAAATTCTTATTTCTATTTTTCTGCAGAGTGTAGATGGCAAACAGTACCCAAAGAAGAAGATGGAAAAGCGATTTGTCTTCAACAAGATAACCAGCAAAAGCACAGTGGAATTTGAATCCGCTCAGTTCCCCAACTGGTACATCAGCACCTCTCAAGCAGAACATAAGCCTGTCTTCCTGGGAAATAACAATGGCCAGGATATAATTGACTTCAAGTTAGAACTAGTGTCTTCCTAAAGGGCATCGCACCCATGGGTCCACATCTGTTGAATGTAGCCTTGATCCTCAGAGCTGAAATAAGAAGATTTGAGCACAGCTGCAGACTGGACTTAATTGATACCTATTGACATCCAGCTGTCTTCCCTTAGAGCACGCTAAGGGGTGCTCTTGCCACCAGCCCAGGCAACAGCTCTCTCTCCTCTCCCTTCTCGCCTCTCCTGCTTCCTCCAAGTTGAGCTGGTAGAGACTCCAGCACCTTCTGCTCAAAGACACCCTCTATCTTTTGCTTCCTGCTCCTGTTAAGCAACCACTTTCCTATTTATTTATTTATTTATTGCTTGATTGATCTATTTAATTTAATTCAAGGATGACAAGAGGCAGCAGTGCCTGTGGAAGCGCCTGGTCTTTAATATTTATGAAATGAATGTAATTTGGGCTGGTACATTGTCAGCATCAAATGTTCATTAGGATTGAAAATAGATAAATTCAGATAATGTAGGTGAAAATTCTGATGAATAAAAAAGTATGATCCCACTGTCTGATAGTTCTGAAATAAACTTCACTTCAAAACAAAGAATGTTCTGCCCCTGTTGACTTGTCTTGTATTCGACACAGAAAAGTAAACACACATGAGACCACAGGAATTCTTATGGGGAGGCCAGGCAGCCTCTCCTCGGTGCTGCACAGAACCTGATAGATAACCTGGCTACCAAAATAGTCCCTTCTCCCATCCTCTGCATCTCTGGTTTTCAACAAGAGAATTCACTAAAAAATTAGGATCAGCTGAAGCAGCACAAGGAGTTGCTGGTAACATCTGTGGTTTGCTGTCCATTTATCCCACAGACATCCATTAAGCAACTGCTATGTACTAAGGGCCAGGAGAGCAAAGACAAGGAATGTAAGGAGTTCCTAGTGAGGTAGGAAGGGAAGACGTGTACAAGCAAAACCAAGGCGGTGTGACAAGTGCAAGCAAGACAAGCAAGAAAGGAGAAGCAGAGCAGAGTCCCAAGCTCTGGAAGGAAGGAGCAGCATACACACCGTGAAGTACCAATCTGCTGTAAAGAAGGAGGAACCTGTATCATTTGTAGGAAAATATGTGTACCTGGAGACCATAATGTTAAATCAGACACCCAAGCTTCAATAATATCACCTGGTATCTCTTATAGGGGAAATCCAAGGTATAAATAAAGAGCAAAATAAAAGGCAATAGGAAGGGGGGAGATGGATATTCTCAAAAGAGAAGGGAGGGGACCAAGAGATGGAGGGAGAAAGGAGGTGAGGGAAACGGAACGAGAAAAGGAATTAAGATGTGCATGTAAAAGGACCAGCTCCTCCTCCCACGAGAACTATCTGCATTATATACTATTAAAATGATCTGAAAAAAAATTGTTTAATTTTTGAAAAGTAGAACAGCATGCCTCAGGCCTACAGGAACAAGTGGAAGTTCCCCAGATAGAAAAATAAAGACAGGGTCCCTCAGGTCCAGGGGCCAGTGTGAACCCAGGCACGGAGGTGGACAGTGAATGAGGCAACAGTAAACTCAAGACTCTGGAAGTCACCAGCAGCAGCATCAAAACATAGAACAAGCTGGGGAGGGAGGACATTTGTGACTTCTAACCCAGATAAAAGGGTAATTTTCTGGGTGTATCAAGCACCTTCTAAAACATCAGAAAAAAATAGGAGCCAAACTCCAACAAACAGTAGAAGGATTCTGACTGCTGTTCACAGAAAAAGAACCACTGCTGAGTCCTGGGCTGCGTAAACAGTGCTCAACATTAGTCATCATAGGAAAGTCACAGAGAAAACACTCTGAGATGACTGTGTTCTCTTATCTGATTGACAACAATAAAAAAAGTTCAACACACCCTCTTGGTGAAACAGTGGGAGGAAGATACCACTGTTAAACATGACACATGGAAAAATAAATTGATATGACTTCTATAGAGAAAATTTTGATAATAACTATGAAAATCACAAATGCACTTCCTCCTTGGCCCAGGAATTTCACTTCTGAGGATTTAGCCTACAGATGAACAGAACCCATGTGAAATGACATATGGTCAAAATTATTTCCTGCACAATATCAGGAAGAGCAAAAATTGCAGAGTCCACTTCTCTATCCACAAGAGCCTGGTTAAATGATGGTGGGACATGGAATAATATGCAACTATTAAAAAGAATGTGAACAAACTGTGTTGTCATGAAATTCTCTCCACAACATCCTGATAACTAGAAAAGAAATGAGACATAGACAGTGTTTAAAGTGTGCTAACTTGGGGCTGGAAATTTACCTTGGTTCACGTAAGTACCTGCCTGGCAAGCACGAGATAGCGAGTTTGATCCGCGAAACTAAAAAAAAAAAAAGATGTGCTAACTTTCATGTAACCAAAGGTAGAGAGGAAGGCAGCATAGTCCATTGTATTTGATCTGAAAAACTAACTGATGCATACGAAAGGAATAAAATCATCATGGAAGGCTGGCATCCGGACATATCAGGACAGGGTAGAAGCAACATTTTTCTTCATATGCTTTTTATACAGTTTAAGTTTTTTTTTTACATCGTGTGGGTGTGTTATCTACTGAGAAATAATGTAGTAATAATTTTAAGCCTTTTGCAAAAACTGAATTGCACATGACTCACTGTCGGAAAGCAACTGTTGGAATGAGCCCGTCCTCAGCAACTCCCACCCAATGCCTCTTTTCCTCATCTGTTGCTCTCCAAGCTGAGCAGACAACGGCAGGGCTTCAAAAGGATGTGACAGCTATTAGGAGCAGGCACCCTGGCAGCATCCATTCTACAATACTGAGCAGAGCTGGGGCAGCAGCCAACTGGTCTGCTAAGAAAGCTGAGGCAGCCCTGTAGCCCCAGCTGGGGAAATGGTTCCCTTTCCATGGCTAAGTGACCCACTTCCACTTCCCCTGTCTGTCCCAAAAAAGACAGCAGGCCAAGGAGAATGACAGCTTGTGAAAGCCTCTCACCCTGTGAGGAAGCCAGATTCCTGTTCATTTTTGTGAGGTTAAATTGTAACCGCCATTGTGGAGAAAAAATTGGCAGTGTTTGGGGTTTGGAGTTTTCTTTAATGCTCCGTGACTCAGCGTTCTGCTCTTCCGTGTCCCTCCAAAGAGGCAAGGTGAAGGATGTTTACGGATGCATTGTTTATAAATGCTTAATGTAATGAGCTGGAAAAAGCCTGTCAGTGGCAAGGAAGAAATGAAACAAACCATGATAAGTGAAATAGAAAGGAAATGATACAAAAATGGAAAGATACCTGGCAAATCATTGAGAAAAAAGGGCAAATTGTTCAGAAAAAAGTGCAGAGCAGTAACATTTACACTTTAAAGAAAGCCACTGCACATGTCCAGTGCATAACTCTATTCATGAGAAGGCAGACAGCTCCGGTATTGACCAGACTGAAAACAGCAAGAATTAGGGTTAAGTGGGGGGTGAAGGGATTGAAAGGAACCTTGTTGGCTTTGTTTCTCATGTTTGAATTTTTAAAGGAAGAATATATTTGTGAATTTTTCATATATGTATTCATTTAATCCTTTGCAATAAAATGTTCAGCATGTTTGAGTTTCTATTCCTGGATCTGAGCCAAAGACTAACATTGACCCTCCAAAGACTGTTCCATTCCTGGGCTGGAACCAAGTTCTCCTCTTGATAACAACTCGCCATTCCTCTGCACTAGGTGTCCTTGGCCTAGAAGAAGAAAAGCAGGCGGCTTCTAAAATGGAACGAGTCAGATGATTTGAGAGAGGAGAGCTGGATCCTCCCAGAACTCAGCCAAATGCAGCACCTATAAGTGGGGGAAGGTTTTTGATGGACCAAGCAGTTAACTTGTATGTACTTCTGCAAGCAACACACCACCACAGCTCCTACCAGCTGTCAGTAAGAGTCTGAATAACAGGAGAGTGGGAGGCAGGTGCTTTGTAAGCTTGACTTGCTGTCTCACACACTGTAACAGTTACTAAGGACAGGCAGCGACTCGTCCTATAGGTTTGGGCTGCAGGAAGTAAGTGCCTGGTTAGGGGAAGGTAAATGAGCCAGTGGTGTGTGGGAGCACGCGTGATCTGAAGGACATACTTGAGGGGTGGCTGACTGCTACAGCGCCTTAGTGAGAGGCGGAGTTGTAAATCGGTGTGTTTTCTGCACAGACCTCCAACCACTCCATTCCTCATCCCCTATTACAGTCTTGCCGAGCTACCCACAAACAGATAGTTCAAACAGAAACCAGGGTGAGGATGATCCAGACGACTGGAGTGATGTCCGCCCAAAGATACAATTATCATAGTTGGAGCCTGGGTCCTCAATTGACAGTGTGAAAACATTGAGGGATAAAATTTTCTCCCTGGGCAGTACGGAAGCACTGCTTTTCTTATTTGCATAAGCACAACTACTTGCTCATGAAATGAAGTCATATATCCCTCTCATAAATGGTCATGAAATGATCATGGTCAGAAAACCATGATCTGGTTTTGTGCACATGAAGTAAGGTCACCAGGAAAGGTGGGGCTGAGGTGAGAAGCAAAGGTTGGTATGGAAGAATCAAGGTGTGTGCCAGGGTCCCAGGGCTGCTCTCTCAAATTAGGAGTCTCGCCAATGCTGAGAATGTTGCAACTTCTAGCTGACACGGCAGCTGGAGATAGAAAGGTTCAGCGAAGGCCTGAGCAAGCAGCAATCCTCTGGGGACTGAGACAAGAATTGTGACTGGTTGGTGGCCACTCTCAGGTCCTGAGTCCCCTCACTGGCTCTCTGAAAGAGCCAATACTTCTGTTTCTGTCTCTGTCTCTGTCTCTGTCTCTGTCTCTGTCTCTGTCTCTGTCTCTCACTCTCGCTCTCACTCTGACTCTCACGCTCTCTCTCTCTCCTCACTTCTACCACCCCAACTGCATCCACCCCCAGAAAAAAACAAGTTATGAAATCCGCCATCCAACTACTGATGGGGCCCCAAGTGTCAGGCAGTAGGGGCCAAAAGGTTCCAGTCACCTCTCGCTCAACCTGCTACCCACCATGCAGGATGTGGAGAAGCTAGTGACCAGTAGGGGGCCATGTACAGCAGTTTGTGTGTGACTACTGGGTTTGGAAGAGAGTTTACAGCGGGGAGGAATCCTCCAGATGCACAGAGCAGTGTCTGCACAGAGCAGTGTCTGCACACACTACTCCGGCTCAAAATAAATTGGGTCTGAGACTGAGCATTACCAGCAGGACAGACGTCCGTAGCCTGAGGATCAGAACCCTCCCAGCCTTGGGAATGGAGCCATAGTCACCCGAGATTGCCCAGTTGAATGCCACCCACTGGCAGGCTCCCCATACAGCCACAAGTCCAATATTCTCCCCCAAAAGACCTTTCTGGTGCCCTGACCCTTGTAGATCTTCAGTCTTCCAAAACTTGAAAGAAGTTTTTTAAAATTGTGGCCCCTCCTACCCCACCTCATATCCTTTTATATATTTTTTATGTTAATACGTAAATTTTTTTCATCAACATTTTAAAGAGCTGGTGGCAAATGATATCATTCATTGCTGAATTGTCATAAATCCAGATGGCCCTCCATAGCCTTGAGTCGGTATCTGAGGAT